TTTGAGGCCACCATTTGACGATAATGTTGGGGCTGTCGCTTTGACGGACCCAGTACGGCCATGTTCATTTTTTTGGTCTTTGGGTTCAGGTTGAACCGCAGGATTTGCGCCCAGATCATTCACAGCCAGCCGCCAGACCCACAGTCAGACATTGCAAGTTCCAGCAATGCAACCGAGTTGCTCACATTTCCCGTTTGGGCTCGTTTGAGTCTCACCTTTTGGGTCATGTTAAACGAGCTCTCTTTGAATGGGATGATGTTCAAGAAAAAAGTATAGAAGGAACCTTGATGTTTAGTCATGTTGCTCTCACCGCCCATAAAAGACTGGCGTGCAGCGAGAGGGACTGCCAAGGTGCCTAGCAGCAGCTCGCGAGCAAAAGGCTGCTTGAACTTGTGCACACGAGAACGTGGGCCAGTTTCCGTTGTTTCCTGCAAGATGCTAGGCGTTCAATTGGTTTCACATGCGGCCCCAAAACTGCACGGCCAGGGGGTCATACATCGTACACATGTCAAGTACTCCAAAGCACTTCTGTCTGGCAAAAGCGTCCATGCAGGAACTCATCCGGAAATCCTGCGCGTGCTCAAGAACCCGAGGCAGACTCGACACTGCGACGTTTCTGTGCATTTGGTTTCAGATTGTGAAGGCTGGGAACTCTTTGTTCTACGGCCATGGGTCAAAATCCCGTACCCCCCGTGAACATCCCAATCCCCACTAAAATAGGTTCTAAAATAGGGTTTTTAATTCACCTACCAACCAAAATGAGATCCCAAAATTTTGACAACCACAGCCCCATTGGACCAAACAGTAAAAAGAGCCGAGGGAATCTGGATTTGCCAGCCGCCAAGCTCAAAGCTGAACTCTGAGCGGCCCTGAGGCTCGCTGCAGATCTACGTGAGTGCGCCTCTTTTTTTCTTCGTTCCGAGCGAAGCTTTTGGTCTTGGGTTTCGAGCTCACTGATGGGAGGCTCAAGACGCAGAATTCCAAGGGCCTTTCCTTGCGGATGCCTTTCTTTAGATGCTTGAACCCTTGTAAAATGTGCTAGTTGATCCTTGAGTTGCATTTTGGTCTGGCGTCAGGGATGTTAGCAGCCGGCCGTCAGCGTGGGTAGCTCGCTTGCAAGCAAGGTATGTCCGACAGCAAGACTTCTGGCGCGTCCCGGATTTCTTCAGAGAAATGGAGGCTGGTGAGATGTTGCACGTTTGCTGCATGTGAGTCGCAATCGAAACCCGGCTAGTTGCAAGGTGGTAAGGGACTGTCCCAGCATGTGCCAGCATATCCACCCCTTCGACCATTTACATACTATGGGTTGCTTTGGGGTCATCAGCCCACGAGTCCCTATTAGTCGCCGTTGGTCGCTATATTGGGCCCTATTAAGCTTGGGGGGTCCCCCATTTTTGGGCCCATAACAAGGATATGACATAGAGTAGGCCACCTCTCTACCGCTATTGAGTTGGATCTTTAGACTTTAACTTTTTGGATTCCCTTCTTATTTCCAATAAAACCAGCAAAAAGTTGAAGTCACTTTTTGCTGGGGGATCTACAGCACCCAAGTTGCACCCAAAGACGATCATGTGTAACATCAACCCGTTTGTTGGCCACTCAAACGGTCAAGCAAACAATATACGCATCCATAAGCTTATGCTTGAATGCATTTCCCATCCAAACGAATCCAATCCACATTAGCTTTCCTGTCATGTGTTGCCTCGCTTCTCGGCGTCCAAAGCCACGCGACAGGCCGACTTTGAGCAGGAGGAGGAGTGCGCTAAGAACAATTTTGCTGTGCCATGTCGGGCCAAGCTTTTTGAACATGGAAAAAACCTCCCCCTGTTGGTTCCCCTTACTGGAGCTGTTGCCACCTGCCCAAGGTACGTTGAAATGCTGCGCGAGCCTGTCGAGGCCACACCTTGCATCAAACCTGGGCATCCCAGAAGGTGGAGTCCGTAGGGCTTCTTTGAAGCCGGGCAACTTTGTTTTGACGCCGTGGGTCCTTGGTGGCTCCCAGCCATCCGGTTCCTTAGCTTCTTAGCCTTTTCGTGTTTAACCCACTAAAAGTTAGCAGCCCAGTGTCCAAAGGCTTGACCGTTTCGTTTTTCAACTGACCCGTCCATGGAAAGGGGGCGACTTATGAGAGGGGTTGCAGCCGCGAAATCCCAGGCGCCGAGGCAGCGCGTGCGGCTGTTGGCGCAAAGTCAGGACCACAGCATGGCTACAGCAAAGAAAGTGCGGTTTCTTTCGGAGATGCTTTGAACGTGAAGCAACTGGGTGAAGAGTGCTGGTTCTGTTTTGACACGTCCAACACGTTCAAACCCCCCTGTTGCTGGTTTTGGCTTAAAGGGGGTAGTTTGTTGGTTTGTTGGACATTTTTTGTGGCACACAACAAGTTCAGACTTGGTCCAATCCGCACAGGAAGTGAGCAGAGGGGAGCCCCCCAAATGCGTAGTTTTCCTTTTGCCCCTCTCAACCTAAAAACGAGTGGCCTCAAAAGACAACACGATGAGACAGGGAATGACTCGGAACCCCAAACTGGACCATCCGATCATCCTCCGATGAGCTTCCTGATCCCGGTTTGGTTCATTTCCAAAAAAACTTGCTGGCGCTCAGTAGGGAATGTGGGAATGAGTCCAGGGATTCCCTTGAAGGACACCACCAGTTGGATCTTTTTTGGGGGTCATTCCATTTCTCATTCCCTACCTATCGCGCCGATCGCAAGACAAAACCAGGCGCTTCTCTTGAGGCGATAAGGAGTTGCTCATCCAGGGGCTTCGGCAGCAGCCCGGAGCGCAGCATCTGATTGGATTGGAGCAGATTTGGGATTTCCTTGGCGTCCCTTTGAGGAAAGCAAAGGCTCCAAAAAGGGTAGTACCCTCAAAAGAAACGGACATGATTTGAGGTTTTTGTGCCAGAATTAGTAGTCCGATTTTTTGCTAGCCTGTTCAAAGGCAGCATTCCTCAGCACCAGTGTATGTTTGACAACTCCCGTGTGGTATTGATTGCTCTCAAGAAGTCGGCGAGGAATGGCTGGGAACCCTTGCAAGGGTTTAAAGGTGGTGAACTGCGGGTTTCATGCGGGCAACAGCCTTGTGCCGCCCAATAATTAAAGGGCCCACCACCATGGAGACTGGCAAAGTGTTACTTTCTCAGGACCTTTTCGGTGGCCCAACAGCTTGTGCCTTGCGCAACGCGCAATCCAGGCCTAGAAAGACAGCCTTGACAGTCCGCGTTGCATGGCTTGAAGGCAGAGGAGCTGCAAAACCAGAGACGGAGCAGTTCTTTTTTTCCCGTGCCGAGGTTTCAAAGGGCCACTGCGGCTTACCTGAAGGCACCTGCGCCGGGCGACTGAACGTTTGCTCGAGTGTGCCGTAAAATACCGGAAGCGCCTGGTGCTCCGCTTTATGCCCCATTTTCCGGGACCGTTATTTTGACTCAAAAGTCAGAACGTGAGGTTGTTTCCAGTTGCAACCTACCACTTGATGACTCTGAGCAGGGGAAAGTAATGGGTAAAATCTGGCCGGGATCCGAAGAATAATAAGCCCAGGTTTACTTTTTGAGGAGTTCGAGAACCGCCAGGCGGCCCCGAACAGTCGCTCAAAAGACAGCCTGGAAGAGCTGGAAAGGATCAAGCAGGAGATCTGAAAAGGGAGATGTCGACTGGGCCAACTTTCCCGAAACTTCCCCAGAATTAGTTGCCCTTTGTATTTTTTGCTTTTTTGGGGTTCCCTTTGATGTCCACTAACCAGGCATTTGTTTATTCTTTTTGCTGGGGTCCTAATTCCAGCCAAGAAAAATTGTGCCTGGTGGGTTTCACAGGGAAGAAGCGCTCGCAAGCAATGAATCATGAGTATTTCGTGCTTAGGTCTGACCGGAGAAGGCCCCTCAAATGAGGGCAAAGCACCGTGAGCCGGTGGAAAGTCGTGTTTTGTTTTTCTAGGTCCCCCAGTAGTGCCGTTTTACCCTTTTTTTTGGGGAGGGTTCCCCTAGTAAAATAGACTACAGAAAAAAGGGTATCCTTATTCTAAGCTCTCTACTGTAGGACCTAGTTTTTACCCCAGGTGAGACAAAGGACGCTGTGGCAAAAAAATGACATCGTGGCAACCAACTGAACCAGGGCCTTCGCTGCGGGGAAGTTGCATTGAGACGCGTTGGCATTCAATCCTCACTGCTGAGATGCATCCTGCTTCCCGGCTGGGAGATAGCATGTTATCCAGTCCGTCATTTTCCTCGTGTCCGCTGGTTTGGCAGCAATCTGCCTCAGCGCATGCTCACTTCCCCAGAATTGCTTCCCCTTTTTATGTGTTGCTTTTTTGGGGTTCCCTTTGTTTTCCACCACTCACCCAGCAATTTTATGTAGTTTTGCTGGGGTCCAGAAACTCCCGCCAAGTTCACTTGGAACGCTTTGTGGGTGCCTGTTCCGGCGCAGGACATCGCCAATCTGAGCCACCCCTACATTTTTGTAGAGGCAGGGCGGTGGCCAAGTTGGCCTCCAGCGAGAGCGACCCATTCCACCCGACCCATTTGCTCAAGACCGATTCGGGGATCGATGACTCGGTTAAGGGACCATCCCCTTGCCAGAAATAGCTGCGGCCGGTTCTGGGATTATGACCATTTTAGTACCGGGGTTTGAGTATGACTCACCTGGGTTTAAGAAGCCAAAAGACAAACGCATGTCTTTGGGTCCGAATCCTGACCCATTCTGACGAGGCTTGATGCTCTGAGCAATCCAACCGAATTCGGGCATGGCTTCAAAGCATCGTGTCACCCACTTTCTGCAAGATTTGAACGGATGCCCCGGAGAGCGAGTGAGAAAGCCCGGTGAACAGCGCCATATCAGGAGGTCGGGTTCCGGTAGGCCCTTTGGCTCTATTTGCTCAGGGCTCCTTAAACGATACATTTTGCAACCACTTGAAACATGGCTTTTTCCACCAAAATAAGGGAAACCACCATCATTGAAAAGGCAATAGTTCAGGTGTATAGCGTAAGGATCCCTGTTGCTCGATTGCCTGGGCTCAAGCAATTCGGAGCCGTCGGGGCGTTCCAGGCGCGGGTCGATCCGCGGCTTAGGTGCCTGTCGCTCCGCATCTATTTTGAGGCATGGAGCTGTTCATCGAGTACGCGGTATGCCTGACTGCCTTACGCATTGCGGGGAATTCAGGAGGTTGAGGAGGACATAGCCCCTGCACAGTGATC